TATATATGATGCTCAATTGCTCATAAGTAAGTAGGACCTAATACAATTTCAGTTTGGACTGCAGCATATTATATTAGTCAAACTGAAAAATTAATCCTTAGGTCCAGGAAATATTGTGAGGACTGGGGACTTATGAAAGTTGCAAATGCTTATTTATGGCAGCCATGGCAGGTTACATATAAGAATTCAGAAACGATCAGTATTACCATTAGAGAGCAATATGTGTAGAGATTTATGTAATGCTGAAGATTCTATCAACTTTTTTTACCAAGCAAACAAATTTTATATTACTAATATGAGTAGGGATGATAATGAGTAACTCGATGTGCTGGTATACATAAAAAATATTCTCAACAAGTCAGATATGAATCTATGTTTTTGGATACATGGATAATTAAGACCCGAAATTTTGGGACTGTTGTTTGGGTCCGGACAATGAGATATACAAACACCATAAAAGGAATTAATTCTTTACTCATAAGTGAGTACCTTACTAATATAAAAAAATCTTCCTATGCTTCAACCCCTTTTATCTTTGTCAAATTTTTTGCAAAGCACACAAAATTTCCCGGTTAGTTTGAAGTAATACAGTGTATGTATATGCAAGCACAATTCATAATCTAAACATTTGGGCTACCCAATGTGCAAATGCTTCTACTAGTGAGTTATGAGGATGATAGATTTATATAATCTATCATGCAACTCATGCAACCAAAGATATATTGATTTGTACTTAAGAAAAGAAAAAAATGTACAATCTTTAAATGACCTCGTCATATTATATTCGAGCTGGTTTGTAGAGTACATGTACAATTATCCATGTAGAGATGACAATGGATCCAGGTAGTGTATTATCTGGACTCGTCCCGTTACTTCATTTTTGGACCCAAACCTACCTCATACCCATGCTAATACTCACTGGGTATATTACCAGCGGGTCCTTAGGTATCCAGCGGATCCATGAGTACCCATAAATTCAAAATATTAAAAATAATTACAAGTAATTTATGTAGTTGTGTATTTGTTTCATACGATCTTATATATTATTTATGCAATCAACAAGAGAAAAGATTATAAAACTTAATTTAAAGTTTTAAATACAACTTAATTTAAAGTTTTAAATACAACTTAATTGACTATTAAACACAATTTATTTTAATCAAACAAAAATTAAAAACAACTTCAACATTTGGATGAAAAATTCTTTTAGTAAGAACTCTTCAATTAACATAATATTACATCATACATATGAATTAACAACATAACATCATTGTTTAACAACATGATAACACAATTTAACAACATAACTATCACATTTATGAATTAATATGATATTATAATTATAAACTAATATGGTATTACAATATAAATTAACATGATATTACAATTATGTTGATATATATATATATATATATATATATATATATATATATATATATATATATATAAAAGTTAGGAAGAAATAATAGGTTTGGATACTTACGGGTCTGGGTACCTCATTATCCGGACTCATACCCAACTAACAACGGGTCTTAAAATTGCGGGTTTCAATTACCCACAAGTCCAAACATGGACCCAGACTCAACCCATTGCAGTTATTTTTAGCGGGTACCCGTAGATCCAGGTACCCATTGCCATCCTTATATCCATGTCAAAAATGATATTTATATTACTTCCCAATGATTATTTAATTTGTGCCTAAAGCACACACTAGTAAATCTCTTATAAAAAAATTAGCATAAAATATGTTTTCTCATAGATCTAATCTATATACTATATAACAAAATTAACTCATTGTCACATAAGCTATGACACATGTCATCCCCTTCTATAACAAAATTAACAAAATTAGTTAATGAAACGTATCATGCTTGGTAATGGCTCCATTATGACTTGAATTCTACCTAAGGCAAATTTAAATTGTTATTATTTGTATTGCACAAATCAATATATTCCTTGAATATCAAAGGGCATTTTAAATAATCTTTGTTTTATTTCTAGTCCAATAATTTTGGGATATTGCTACATTATTGTGTTTCACAAGTACAAACACTAAATCAAACGTATACAAATTTCTATACTCCCAAATAACAAAATACCTCTATGAGTGCAAGTGGATAATGGATCTCAATTAACTACAATTTAATATTATAACCAGTATTTAACTAAACATACAAGTATATAGATGTCAGAAAGAGAGATAATTAAATAAACCAAGTTAATTAGTTATGGAATATACATTACGGACATAAATTAATTAATCAATTTTCTAAAGTTACAAAGGAGACAATATCTTTTGGTCAAGGCTAGAACAAAGACAGTTTGAGGCTTTAGCACATGTTCAACTATAGGTGATATCAAAGAGAAGAAAATCGGTAGCCGGAAAAAATATACATGTTCCCCAATTCATATAAGTTTAATATAGTAATTAGCACATATTTTCAAGCAAATGATTCGCATCACGTAACATTTGGGAACAGTATCTTCCACTAGCATCACAATTTGGAATAAAGATCTTATGTTCTCAAATCTGTCCCAATTTTCCATTTCAGCCAATTAAAAATTGTCATATAAATAAATAAAAATAAAATTGTCATATAAATAAAAATAAAAAATAATATGTTTATCTTACTTGTTAAAATGTAGTTGATTTTATACAGGTTTGGGAACATGGTTTGTATCATGTAATAAATCTGAGTATGCCTTCCTTTTTCCCTGAATTTGAGGAACTAGTTACTAGTTTTGGGTGTTACTGTTATAGAGTGACGGAGGAAAAATGAAATGGCTATTAGCCAGGTTTTGTCTTGAAAGGCTCAATATATGTTCATGTTTTCTAACATCTTTTTAATTTTTGTTTTATCTTATCTTATAAAAAATGTCATTTTACCAAGAAACTTATAAAATAGTTGTTTCCGAGCAGTATTTTTTATTCGTGAGAATAATTTATGAAATAAACTCATAAAATAGCTTATGACATTTGTATAGGTTAAGAAAGCTAATTATGATACTTATGTGATGATACTCTCTTATTAGATAGGCCAATCAACCCATTCACGTTAATGATATATAATTAGCAAATACCATAGAAATAATTCTACCAGCATTATATATTAAGATTTAATCTTCAAGAATATACATTGGGGGCCACATGGTTGGTATGTTGCTACTAGTCCTGCTCCATAATATAGTAGAAACATATATGATGGTATCATGGTACTAAATCTACATACAGGATAAACCATAAAGTAATTATGTATCATGGTACTAAATATACATACAAGATAAGAAAAGGACATATATCACTTAAATATAGATGGTAAAATGATGGTAAAATGGGTATTGCTCATGGGCATGCACACATTATTTTGCCGGTAAGGTATACAATTATTGTCTGTTTCGCCCTTCCCGTTTGCACATAAGGCCCGTGGACATTTCTATTGGGCAATGCGGGTGGCCTACAGACATAATTAAAGAAAAAATAAGAAAAATTCAAATAACTTATAATGTATTATAATGTAATGTGATTTTTAATGCCTCAAAAAATTATAATATAATTTGATTTATTCAACTTCATATAAAATTATATTATTAATTTTTTATCTTCAACTACTTTATTTAATATTGGACAATGTTTGTGGGTCATTAGCTCATTCTAAAACTAGTAGGACACGGCAAAACATTGACTTTTGTCCGTTAAGACATTGCGGACATGCTCGTGCCCGCTTAAATTTTTGCAGGCACGGGCAAAACTGGCTGCCATGCCCATTTTGTCATCTTTGCTTATAAACTAATTATTAATAGACAAAATATTATTTTTTTATGATACATGGGAGAATTTTTTTTTTTTTTTTTTTTTTTTTTTTTTTGTAAGTGGAATGCTCCTGAAATTTACTTATAATTATAGCAAATGTACCTTCCCAACCGAGCATATGTTTCCCATAACTCGGACATTGGCATGAGATTTAATGCAAAACCCCCACATACTTAGAAGCACACGTGATGACACTTGTCCTTGCATGGCACATCGTGCTGGTTCACGTTCTTATTCTTACCCTTTTAATGGCTAAAGTTTATGTACACTCACTTTATGATCAACGAGACTAACTTTTCCAAGTATTATCCATACGAATTCTCTTTTTTATTGTTTTTAATAGAATATGACTAATATACTTAGTCCCGTTTGTTTATAATTTTTCATATAAAAAGATGATGTTTTATTCGGATGACTTGTCCCAAAATGATGTTTCTATCATTGTCTTGACCAATTAGAAAAAGTGAAAAAATACAAATGATATGGATTTTTTAAATGAGATGTCAATATCTAATTGATCGGGACATGGATGAAGATATCATTTTGGGACAGATGATTCTCATCCGTTTTCTTCTTGAAATTAGTTGCCAAAAATATTTATGAGCACCTCAAACATGGTTGGGCTTTCCTAGTTCGAGCCCAAATTTAGTGCGGGCTCTTACCAAATGAACTAAAATTACTTGAATTTAATGTAAACTTAATTTTCATTTTGTCATCTCTAATTAGAATTACACTTTCCGTATAACAACGGTTAGGATAAACTTTGGCACAAAAACATAGGACATGTAGATTCAAGAATTCAATTATTATTGACTAGTTCAAATTATAATCATAATAGGACATATTGCATAATTAACATTACAATATTGTTTTTTATATGATAATTTATTAGGTTACTAAGGATATAGATTCAGATCATTATACTCAAATTTGGATAGAATATGTATGCAATCCTTCTCGTTTTTGACATTGATATTTGGTGTCTTGTTAGTACATGTTTATGCACTTGATTATGACATCATTTGTACCTTAATTTGATCATAATGGAGATTGTTGACACCTCTTAAGGACCCATTGTTTATAATTTAGATTTTAGAAGTTTTTCATAGATTTCAAGATATATATATATATATTCCTGCCATAAATTTATTAAGTTACTCGTAATAAGTTATGCTAAATAAGAGTTAAGTTGTTGTCTCCCATTTTCATGATAAGAGCAACATATGTTTACAGAATATTTGAGGAAATAACACTTCTTCTCTTACATTTCTATTCTCATTTTAAAAAAACAACGTAGCAAGTGGGATAACAATCAGCAAGAAAAGTCAGATTTGAACGGTGGATGAAGGTGAGTCACTACGGCGCACAAAACAATAAGTAACCTCGTCTTGAGTGTTAATTGCCACGACACGCGTTTCACCCTTTCACGACTTTATCAACAAAATAATAATCAAATAAATTAAAAGCTATGCATATTTCTCTTCCACTTTCACTTCTATTCTCTTTTCAGATTTATTTTCTTATCTAACTCACCCACTCTTTTTTAATGGGACAGTCACCGTCCACCACCGTCCCCTCGCCGGAAACCTATCATCGCCAATTTCATTTCTCTTCCGATCATTCCATCGGAGATGAAGCGCGTGATTACACCGCCTATATCCCCGACGAATGTCTAGCCATGATTTTTCATTTCCTCAGCTCCGTCGACCGGAAAAGCTGCTCTTCCGTTTCCAAACGGTGGTTACGTGTCGACGGCGAAAGCCGTTACCGTCTCTCACTCAACGCTAAGGCTGAACTGCTAAACCGCGTTCCTTCCTTGTTTTCGCGGTTTGACTCGGTCACGAAACTCACCCTACGTTGCGACCGAAGATCCACAAGCGTGAACGATGACGCTTTGATCCTAATCTCGCTTCGGTGCAGTAACCTCACGCGCCTCAAGCTCCGTGGCTGCAGAGAGATTACGGAAATCGGAATGGCCGGTCTAGCGAGAAACTGCAAGAATCTGAAGAAGTTCTCTTGCGGTTCTTGCATGTTCGGCGCGAGAGGCGTTTACGCGTTAATCGAACATTGCAATTTACTCGAAGAACTTTCAATTAAGAGGCTTCGTGGTGTTGATGATGGCGTAAGCACTGAAATTGTAGGTAACGGTTATGTTTCCGTTTCCTCTTCGTTGAAATCGATTTGCCTGAAAGAGATTGTTAATGGAAGAAGCTTCGAGTCTCTTATAATCGGTTCGAAGAAGCTTCGTAGTTTGAAGCTGATTGGATGTTTGGGGGATTGGGATATGATGCTTGAAGCTATGGGTAAATTGAACCCTGGATTGGTTGAGATTCACCTTGAGAAGGTTCAAGTTAGTGACTTAGGGCTTACAGGGATATCAAATTGTCTGAAATTGGAGACTTTGCATGTTGTGAAAACTCCTAATTGCTCAGATTTTGGGATTTCTGATGTTGCCGAAAGATGTAAGATGTTGAAGAAGCTGCACATTGACGGATGGAGGACTAATAGGATTGGTGATGATGGATTAATCGCTATTGCGAGAAATTGTCCTAATTTGGTTGAGCTTGTGTTGATTGCTATGTTTCCGACAAGTCTAGGGTTAGAGGCTGTTGTTTCTAATTGTCCAAATTTGGAAAGGTTGGCTCTCTGTGGGATTGGGACAGTTGGTGATGCCGAAATTGAGTACATTGCTACAAAATCCGTGGCACTGAAGAAGCTTTGTATCAAAGGATGCCCTGTGTCTAATTCCGGGATTGCAGCTTTTGGTTTTGGTTGTCCCAATTTGGTCAAGCTTAAGGTTAGGAAATGCAGGAAAGTCAGTGGTGAAGTTGTGCAGTGGCTGCGCGAAAAGCGGGGTTCTTCGAGTTTTAATTTTGATTTTAGTGAAGTTGAAATTGAAGCTTTGGATGGAAGTGGTAGTGATGGTGGCAGAGTTCAAGAAAGTACAATAGTCTTTCCCCATCCAATAGTTACCCAAGTAACTACCCTAGCAGATGCTGCTGCTGCTGCATCAAGTAGTAACAACAATAGCAACCGATTTTCAATGTTGAGGACAAAGTTTGGATTTTAGGCTAGTAGGAATTTTGTGCCCTGTGCCTTCAGAAGATGGGCAAACATTGATAATATCTCTGGTGACAGTTTTTCATAATCTTGAATAAAATTAAGAATGATGGTAATACATTCTTTGCCATTTTCACAATATGTTACATGAGTTTTGGTGTGTTCAATTCCATGTTCCTTAGAACTGTTAGCTTACTGATTATTATTTTTCTCTATGGATTGCTGGCTGAAGTAGTTATCATGACAACTACACATGTAGCCAATTTACTTTCATTCATTGGCCCTATTCATGTTGTTGTTTAAATTCTTATAACACTTTTTTTCGGTTTCTTTTTATGGTTTGGAAGTTGTACAGTGCTTAGTTTAGCATGACTGTTTCATTGTCAACATGTTTTTAAGAACAGTTCTATTATTTTGTGATCTCAAAAGCACATAATACTCACTGCGTATTCAAGAGAGGAAGAGAATCCTACAGATCAATTCAATTTCACAATTTTCAAAACTATCACACTTAATACAAACAGTTTTGGTGATAGCAAAGCTTTTCAATAAGATATCTCTTAAATAAGGAAACCCATAAAGCAAGTAAATGAAGCTGTAAACGGTGCAATAATGAGTCAAAAGTTGCAACTTTAATGTAATCATGCAGTGAGGTTTGTGTCCTTGCAGTGTAGTGCCTACCCTTTTTTAAAACCTTTTAGTTCATTTCTGACATCTTAATTGTCAGATTTTTTTTCATGTAGATCAACTACATTTTTTGAAGGGGTGTGGGGTGATAATTGAAGAGCACACACAACCGTTGCTGAAAATTTCCTAGCCCCTATATTACCAAAAGTTTGTGAAGTTCCTCTGTGCAAACTGTGATCAGTACATCAGAAAATTCTCCTTAACCCTCATCATTTGTTTAGTTCCTCAAACAAAAAACCTTCAATCTCTCTCCCTGCTATACCTTCCTTTTGTTGCATCATTTAATCCTTTCATTGTAGTTCCATTTTTATCTGCTGAAGATTTGTATTTCTGTCCACTCTATACCCTGGTGTATTTATTTCTTTCTATCTACATGTTGTAATGTAGCAATTACAACTTGTAAGAAATCAATGAACCTTTAGTCAATGCATCACCAAACTTTGGTCCCTTTCTTTTTCTCTTCATTATCCCCAGCTTCCTCTCTACAAAATGTGAACCATATAAGATTTTAATTTTAATAAATCATATTTCATAAGATTAAATAGCATTAATGGACCAATTGTCTTGTCTGCTCTTGCTTATAAAAGCAAATGTCTTGTTTGTTGTTTACTGTGGCAAACAGAATTCGGTGGTTGTCCAATGAGAAGTGTCCATTGCCTCTCCTATGCTCAAGAAGTGTCATAATCTGCAGCAGAATGAAGGGGAAGGTTATGATTAATTATATGCATATTTCTACATAGAGTGGAGGGAAAAGGCTATGATTTATGATATGCACATTTCTACACTAGACAAAAGTGTTTCAATTTAACTCAGAATTTATGGGGAGTGAAAATTACAAGGATATTGCGGTTGCGTTTTGGAGAGAAATGAAAGGAAATTAAAGATTTAAAGTCATGAAACACATTTGTAAGATGACTTAAGTTTCCATTTCCCTCCAAAACCAGCCTCCCAAATAGACCCTTAAGGACATTGAACCAAGCACATGCAAGTCATGTCCAACTATTTTAACTATGTTGAATAAGTTTTTTTAATGTTTATTTTTATTCACCATAGTCCAAACTTCAAAATTGAACACTTGATATATAGAGTTTTGCACCATTTCTATTTGTTTACTACATTTATGGAATCATCCCATAATTTGTACATGTAATTTTTCTATCTTCCCTTTTGAGAGGCATTGATAATAAATTTATACTAAAAGGTAAATTTCCTTTATATAATAGTGTAGAAGATGATACAATGTCTATATATATACCACACAAACATACTATTTTTTTTTGGCTAATAACAACAAGCAGATTCCAAAGAGCAACAAATTACATAATTTTGCTTCATGTTAAACACTATAAAGGATTAATTTTCATACATATAGACACATATTAATCCAAAAATTGAGCAACTATTTACCACATCAGATTATACAGTTTAAGGTTCTAGTAGAAGCAATCTTCTCTAAGGACCCTATGTTTAGGAGACTAGGTAGAATCACATGAACGGTTAGCCCAAAGAGAACTAAGAGCACGAAGACGGTGTAAGTATTCCCCTAGAGCCAATAATCCTTGTGCAGCTTGGTGTGTTGTTAGGATCCTTGACATATGAAGCAAAGTTTGTTGCCTAAGATGATCTGCCTGTGGTACAAAAGAGTGCATTGGATTATTAGCATTTGCATGCAGATTCAAAGACCCATTTTAAATTATAATCTAGGATGAGAAGTTATATGAAGTCACATTTGCAATTACAACTTATGGTGATAGTGTTTAATGTTGAGGTTCGATCTCAAAACGAATTGACAATGTCAACATGTATTTAAACTATGCCTAGGAGAACGAGACACACAATGTGAGACTTACATACCCCCCATTCATAGACGTTTGTCGTACCAGACAATGGGTTACTACCTTTGACTCATGATTAAAGGACATCTTTTGGCTTATGACAACTGGAAAGAAGTTAAGCTCTGACTCTGATACCATGTTATAATTTCATCTCAAAACCAATTGGCATGAGAAGAGTATCATAATAGATATTTAAACCATGTCTAAAAGAACGAGACAGATGATATGAGACTTCCTTCCCAATATTTAATGAATGGACAATAGTGTTTAATGCATGGACAGAACATGAACATATGACAAGATATTTTATTCTATTCAATCTCTTGTTTATAAGTCTATGTCATGTTATGTTCAATTCCGTTATGACATGTCTACTTAACTATTCTTATTTGAATTAACTAATGGATTATTTATCAAATGAGATTACTAAAAAGAATTATAAGAAACCAAAGGGGTTTAGTTCTATTGTAATTTGCAGAAGACTTCTTGAGTGTAGACTACAATAAATGTTCCCTAGAACAAAATACAAATCCAGAATGGTCCAATATCTGATGTTATATTACCTGGTTTACAAAACCTTCTAGTGCTTCAATTTTCTCCATGGCAATGGCCATCTGAAACTCGAAATTTCCTACACCTAACTGATCAACTACTATGTTGTGGACCATACTTTGCTGAAGTTTATCCAATCCTTGTGAAAGTGCATCTTCAGCTTGCTGAGATGATAGGTGGAGATTGTGAATACTAGTCATTTGTTCATCATTCAAAGGCTCAAGTTGTGGCACAATGATCTGCAATGAAAGATCAAGTGATTTATTGAGGTATACATTGTATGAATTTTAACTATATGTGCAAAATGTAACATCTATTGTATTACCAAAACATCAGATAGATAATATATTTGTGTTCTAATCTATCTACCAATGTATCAAAAGCATGCCTAATGAATTCAATTTCTTGCAAGTTTTAACTTCAACAAAACTAAGTAGATTGTAACATAAGAAAGAAATGTAAGAATTTGTGAGAATCAGGTTCATGCTATGGTATGTACATTCAGAAGCTGTGACGGGCGAGATCCTCCAATCCAAAGGAAAATGCGCTCGACCGATGCTTTCCACACACCAGAAATTAAATAGAAGACATCAAGCTTTGCAGCATCTGCTTTCATTCTGAAAAGGTTTGAGTAATGGTTCAAGACACTCTGAACAAGTATATGGAGCTGAACGTCGCACGCGTTAGTTTGAAATGCATTCCTAAGTTCTTCATTCCACCTATGTTGCTCTGTAACCCAATGTCCGTATTCAATTTCAAACGCGACGATCCCTGCTTCGCAGAACAGAAAGGCCACTTAGAAGTGTGTAACATGCTATGAGCACAATATTTCATACACAGACAAAATAGTTTAGTGTTAAATATTGTGTAGTTCAACACTTGATACTGAGTTTCTCAGATTTGAATCACATGAAAGAAACCTTGATAGAATGCATAATGCAATATTAGATGCGGGGAATTTACTTAGCAGTTTAAGAAATAAAAAATGTGTCATTGCATACAAATATGACATGTATAAAGCAAAATGTTTTGTTACTTAGGAAAGGTTTAGCAAGAGAGTTTGAAATATATTGGTTACTGTGTAAAACAATGAAAATATGCATCTGCATCACTTATAGAACATAGAAGGGTAAAACCATACTTCAAATTTTTCAAATGCATGAATTCATCAGATAAAAACAGGTTATAATTATATCTAAAAATTAATAGAAGACAAATTGAAGTAAGCTTAGTTAAACTGATATAATAAATCACAAACCTGAGTGCAAAAGTAATGTTCCATGAGATCCCATATAACTAGCATCAAATGTAGTACCACCAATGTACATACTCTGAAAGTAGACATTTTAGTATATACTAAAACATGAAGGAACATAAACAACATGTGTAAGGGTGATTGTTAAATATGAGTTTTGGTGTACCTGTTTTCTTGCTTTCCCAATCTCCAATTCCAATTGCATAAGCTTCAACCGGCTTGTTTCTAATTGTTGAACATAAGCCTATGATTAACAGAAGTATAAATCAGATGACAAACACTGAATACCTTTCTGGCTTTCTGTAAAAGTTCACTTATACTACCTTTTTTCGCAACCGACTTTTCTTAGCAGCCTCTCGATTCTGAGCTAGGCGTCTTAGCACCTACACGTCGATAAATATTGAACTACTATAATGTCATATGTAACTCAAAATCATATCATTCATTTTTATCAACATTAAATTTGATAAGTTATGCACTAGGAAAGATGGGTAACCATTAGGAATAGACAAGAAAAACAGGTCAAATAGAGATACATAACAAAGGTGTGAAATTTCATCACCTTACTAACATCTTTGTTATTAGTACTAGTACTCTCTTGATCATTTCCACAAGGTTCTCTTGGTCCATGAGGAATATATTCAGACTGAAAAAATCAAATCCAAAAGATTGTTATAATCTACTTATCACATAACATGAAGCTAACCCTAACCACACATAAAAAGTAAAAGAAAAAAGAGAAGTTCATGCTTTCTTACCTTAGCTTCCATGGTAGTGTTCACTAGTAACACTGGGGAAGCAATTGAATTCATTCCTCCTTCAACTTTAAAGCTATCACCCCACATGTTAACTTGCTGAAATGGCTCATATATGTCCATTATCTTTCTTTTCTCTCTTTCAATGCCCAGAGTTAAATAACAGGAGAAAATTTTCTGAACAATACAAAAATACATTAATTTGGTCATTTGATTCACTTACTAGTACTAACAAGAGACTTCTGGCATGGAAATTTAAATTACTATCAAAAGGATCAATAGCAGTCTCCTAATATATTGTTCTGTTTGTCCCGATTTTCAGTTATGCCGATTCTAAATGTTAAAGTTCTATCTCAAAACCAGTTGACTGTGAGAGAACTAGTCCAAAAGTATTTAAATCATTCCCGAGACAATGAGGTAGACGATGTGAGACTTACTTTCCAACATGACTCCTTCACATAAGTCTGCCAGACCAGGCGAAAGGTTACCTTTGACCCATAACTAAAGGGTATCTTTTGGCCTATGACAACCAGAAAGAATTTGGACTCTGACTATAATATTTCACCTCAAAACCAATTGGCTATGAGAGAAGTAGCCCATATTTAAATCATTCCTGGGACGTAAGCGTATCCTAATAATTCTTATTTACTAAGATTCCAATAACTATGAGGAAAAAAAGTGAAAAAATATTAGCAGATTGATCCAAAATTTTGCAGCAGAGAAGGATATCAATACAGCATATACAGAAATGATCAACAACAAATGTTTATATTCTGTCAAAAGAAATTCAATGCCTTGCATGAGTTTATATTGTTTCCAGAAATAAACAGAATAGACCAAAGTACTACACTAAATGTTTGACTCACTTGAGTCCAAGGTTTTGCTCAAAACGAAAACCTTAACTTCATGTTAGATGAATTGAAATTTAACATGAAATTGGAACTTAACCAATTACATACTACTACTATTACTACTACAGAGTGAAGAAAACTAACCTATGCTACCTAGCTTGGAAGAATATGCAACCTCCAAAGTTTTTATTAGTCCATGATGATGCTCATTATTGAATATATATATATATTTGAGAAACTCACTAGCTTAGTGGTTTTGCATTATTATTCTTGCACAAAAAACAAACTATAAAAGCAACCATATGACTATAGATGACAAGTGCAATTAAAGGTTGCTAGTGCATTATTATCCCCATTTTTTTTGTTCCAGACGAAAATATCTTTTATGAAAGACAATTTTGTCCGAGTCAAGATCTCAATGAATTTTGACTCGAACTCATATCTTTTTTAAAGAGAAATATGCATATACTATTATACCCTTACAGCGATCACCAATTATTTTTCATAATTAATATGATGATCG